GCCTAAACCTTCAGTAGGACATCCACTGAGGGCTCCTGGACTGTGAGAGGGGGCAGGCTGGACTGAGGGACCCCCCACCCCCCAGTGCACGAATTTTGTGCACTGGGCCTCTAGTTTAGGTATAAAACAAAGGGGAATGTTCATTCACACATGGCAACTTGAGATATTTGGATATGGTGTTGCTAAGTAGGTTTCCAAAGATGGAAAAAAATTACTATGGTTATCAACACTACCGTGGCCCTATTAGATACTGGAACATCTAAGCATCAGTGTGTGACCATGCAAAACAAGACTTTAGAGAATGTCTATTTTCAAAAGAGTTTCTGTGCATTGAGGCAATTGTGAAAATATTTACTTTCCAGAATCAAGCCCACATTAGGCTTAGGATCATGTTCTAACTATATAAAAATATTGACCAATAAAAGAAAGTGTTCCAAATGTGGCTATTCTGATTCATAGTTTTATTTTTAAAAGTCTGTACAGAAAGTATAAAAGTTTTTTTGAATTTAATGTAACTAAGCTTCCAGTCTTTTTTTTTTTTTATTGACGTTTTTGGGGTGACATTGGTTAATAAAATTATATAGGTTTCAGGGTTATAATTCTATAACACGTCATCTGTATATTTTATTGTATGTTCACCAACCCAAATCTCCTTCCATTACCATTTATCCCCCCTTTACCCTCTTCTACCTCCCGTCACCCCTCTTTCCCTCTGGTAATCACCATACTGTTATCTGTGTATAAGAGGTTTTTTTCCTTTGCTTAATCCCTTCACCTTTTTCACCCAGCCTACTATGATTTCATTTATATGTGAAATCTGGTGAACAAAATAAACTAACAAAATAGAAACATATTCATAGAGAACAGACTGACAGCTGTCAGAGGTAAAAAAGGGGTTGGCGACTGAGTGAAAAAACTTCACATATTTGCCTTTTTAATTTTAAGATTTGTCAATTTTACCTTCAAAACAAATCATTTCTTAAATTGTAAAAAGTATTCAATATATGCAGAAATAAAAAGAATTTTTAAATTAGTTGAGGTTCATGTACTTCAACTCTTTGGAATTAGTTTAGCAAAATGAATCTGGTACTCTTGTTGAATAGGGGAGTGATAAGTATATAAGCAAAATTTACTCATTATAGTTGGATTTGGAGTAGATTCCAATACATCATTGACAGATTCTGGAATGAGGTGGGGAAGGAGGGAAAAAAGACCTATAAATATTGGTACATATCAATTACTACATAAAAAGTCAAATGCAATGTCAAATCAAAGAGTTCAGTGCCTGAGAGAATGGTAAGTGATAAGTTAACAATATAAAACTTTATCTAGAGTTACAGGGACATTAAATTAGTATTGTGAAACAATACATTGAGGATTTATAGGAATACCTGGAAATTCCTTCTAATGTACATATAAATAGAACCATGGAAGCTTTTTACATTACCCATTTTATGGCCTTATAGCTTTAATGAACCAATTGAAATCTGACTCTGTTCCAAATCCCATCCCTTATCTCTAGATAAAATAAAATCTGTTCATTTTCAAAATAGAATTTTATGTGTCCATACTTAAGCCACATTTAAGGAAATCATCTCTGAACTAATTTTGGATGTGTCTCTTCATCTTGTACATGAAACTGCTACAGATTTAATATCAACATTCATCATCTAGTCAGACCCTGCACATGTTCTTTAAACCAATCAAATATGGGATCCTCAACATTTTCTATGTCAATAAAATTAGGTGTGGAATTATCAGATTCAATGAAGACCTGTTTTTTCTCTGTCACACTGGATATCTAGATTCTATTTGGATTGGGTTTGGAAGATGGAGAAGTATAGACGTTTCTTGGACTGAATCTTTTAACAATAGAGGTGTAGAGATAGAACTAGGTTGCTGAGAGGCTGGCTATTGACTGCAAAGCACTGCCACTTGCCTTAGTGGTGGTACTCAATGGATTTGGACTAGTCAAGGTTTTGTGGGAGGGATTACTGGAAGGTGATGAAGCAATTGTTGGATTTGAATAAATCTGCATGGGTAGGAGCAACACCAGAAGCAGCAGTCCCAGTTGGAGCCTGGTTACATCACTTTGCCCATGTCCTCTCTGTCAGTGTGTGGCTGCATCTCACTTTGGATGTGGAGTGGGTGGGGAACCTGTGGCTCCAGGCAGGAGCAGGCAAGGTTTAATAGCCGATGTTTTGGAGTGAACGAAGTTACCATTTTTCAACATTGCATCACTCCTTTTTAAACTATCTTGTGATCTGATTTTGTTACATATCAAAAGCATCGATTTTTGGTTATTTTTATACCATTTAGATAGTTTGAATTTCTAAACTTGGATTCTGCAATAAATTATCTTTCTGTTCCCTCGTTCCTCTATATTCAGTAGTTTCTTCCAATATGGAGATACATTTAGTCAGAGACTTCCTTACAGCAGTAATGCTAACTTTTCAGCCCAAAGGGTAAGACTCTGACTAAGGCAAAAGGTTATTTACACATTTTTGTTACTTGAGAAATGTAGATGAAGAAAGAGGAAAGCTGTTATATTACAAAATACTTAATAATTTCCAAATGGTTAAGAAGTGAGTGATTGGGAGCCAAAATGTTGATTTAGGGTTAAAAATAAGTTAACTTTTTGTAGTTAGAAACCCGTAATTTAATATCATTCTGTTTAATTTTACTATTAGAATAATGCTATTTCTCAGTATAGATTTTGGTCATACTTTAAAATCATTTCATTCTCAAAAGGGCTTTAATATGCTATTTTAGTGTTAATTTTTCTCATATTGTAATTGAGAAAAACAAGGTTCAAATCACTATGTATAGTGTGTATAATAAAGGGGAGAAATAAGCATATTAATAATGATAAGAAGTAATTCTAGAAGGATACACATGAAACTAATACAAGTGATAACTTTCATGGGAGAAGAAATGAAATGAATGGAAGCAAGGGTAAAGATAAAACTATTTTCTAAATATCATTTATTATTGAAAAATCG